AAGAATTCTGTAAAATCTTTTCTGCTCCTGGCTACTGATTTTGCCAATTCTTAGCAGCCACCTTGACTTTCCCAGAGAATACATTTATTAAATGTGAATTTTCCTGAACAGATTGATGTTGGTGGGAAGTGTCCCTGGCCCTGGGATGGAACAAGATGATCTTTAACTGAAATCAATCTGGGATTTTGGGATTCTGCTCATTTCAGGCCGTGGCAGATGATGTGAGGAGGTTAAAGGATGAGAAACCACTTTCTTCCCACTCCATTCCTTCCCAGCCTGCTCCTCAGGGATTGCTCTGTGCTGCTGGAGTGTGGCTGCTCCCTGCTCAACAAAGGGACAAAGCTGGGACTGAATCCATGCAGAATTTGCATCACAAGCTGCAGCTGCTTCCCTCAACAAACACCCCTGTGTCCATGGGCTGTCACTCCCTCCAACACCCTGGCAGAGGCTGCCCTGGGATCAACCCAAGCTCAAACACTCCAAAAACAAGCAGGGAAAGCTCCTCTGCCATGCTCCAGGAGTCAGGAGTTACTGACAGGCACACTCAGCCTTCACAGGCTCCTGCTCCAGGAGCTGAGGGGTTTGGATCAGGCCTGAAAGCACAGCAGAGCTGGAAATACATTAATTTTTTTTTTTTTCTTTTCATCTCAAAATCTCCAGTTGTCTCCTTTCCAGCTTTGGGCAGTGTCAGGCATTTCTGGTTCCGTGCCCTCCCATCTGTTCCCCTGGCTTACAGAGGGGACAGGGATCAGGCTGGGGGGATGATGTTTATTAAATGACAAACTTGGCTACGGCAGGATGGAAAAATAAACACAGTCCTGGCACATGGGAACGAGCCCAGGTCAAATGGGAGAGCTTAGTGTCAAGGAAGGAAGAGGAGCAACCTCCAAGGACTCCAAGATGTCACAGGATTATACCTGGAGAAGGTCAGCACTAAAAAACGTAACTCCAGCCCCCAAGGAGAGCTCAGAGCCCCTTGCAGAGCCTAAAGGGGCTCCAGGAGAGCTGGAGAGGGACTGGGGACAAGGGATGGAGGGACAGGACACAGGGAATATTCCACTGCCAGAGGGCAGGGATGGATGGGATAGTGGGAATTAGGAATTGGGAGGGTGGTGAGACCCTGGAATAGAATTCCCAGAGAAGCTGTGGCTCCCCCTGGATCCCTGGAAGTGTCCAAGGCCAGGCTGGACAGGGCTTGGAGCAGCCTGGGACAGTGGAAGGTGTCCCTGCCACGGCAGGGGGTTGGAATGGGATGGGCTTTTAAGGTCCTTTCCAACCCAAACCATTCTGGGGCTCCAGTGAAAAATGTGTGCTCACCCCTTCCCTGCTCAAGTCCTCTCACCTCCTCATCACCCCATCCTGCCCAGCAGCTTTCCTCTGCTCCTCAACCCAGACTTGAATATTCAGCTTTTAGGCCATTTCCTCTGTCACCTCTTTCCCATAAATGGAAAATTAACAGCCTAGGGCTGGAAACAGCCAGAATTCTGTACCACTGACACTTGCAGGATTGCCAAAGATGTGTGAAAATATCATGGATGTGTGAACCAGCTCTGTGTCACTGCTGGGAAACCTTAAGCCGTGGACAAGGGACAGCCCAGCACTGACAGAATGCCAGGCCTGGCTCATGTTTCCACTGTCATAATTCCAAGGCAGAGCCAAGCAAGGTGGTTAAGGTCACTGTAGGTGACCTGAAGTGAAACCAAATCCACCAGAGATATCCAGCCCAAACTCTTGTGGGGGCATAAATTGCTTATTGTGCCACATCAGTTTTGCCTGGGAATCCTGCAGTGGAATCCATGGGATCATCTCTGACCCCAGCTGCTTTCCCTGACACTTTCCCTCACACAGATGATCTCAGCTGCCAAGATTTGCCACTGAGGAAGCTGAGCTTCCCCAAGGGAGGCTGTTGTTGGGTGGGATTTAAGTCACATTTAACGATGAGCTGCTGTCCTATTGGAATTCTGGACTGCACAGCCAGCTGGTATCACCTCCATCACCCATGGCCTTCCCTGGACTCAGGGCAGACACCACCAGCCTGGAATTTAATGCCAGTCATGTAAAATCTACATTTTGTCTTGTCCAAATATCATCACAGAATCCCAGAATGGTTTGGGTTAGAAGGGAACTTAAAAACCAAAGTTCCAACCTTGCCATGGACAAGGACACCTTCCACTATGCCAAGGTGCTCCAAGCTCCATCCAACCTGGCCTTGGACACTTTCAGGGATCCAGGGGCAGCCACAGCTTCTCTGGGAATCCTGTGCCAGTACCTTCCCAGAAATTCACTACCCTGCTGCTCCCTGGTCATTTTATCCCATTCCATCCTCTCCCAGCCTGCAGAGCCCTCAGCTGGTAAATTTTAACTAAACCAGGATCATTTAGGATGCTCCTAAATGGAGTCACTTTAAGCTCTCCTGTGCTGATTGACCCAAATCAGGGCTCTCTTTGCAGCAGGACATTCACCCCACACCCTGCTGGCACAGATTTTTGGCAGGATTCTCACCTGCCTTCCATCCCTTCTGGCAGCACTCAACCAGTGAGCTGCTCTCCCAAATTTCCTGACAGGGAGGACAAAAAACAGACCCCAAATCCATGTGGAGCTGACTCAGTGCCTTAGCTACAGCAGGATGGACAGGCTGAAGCTCTCTCTCCTGGATGTCCCAGCACAAATATCCCTCCTGCTGCTGCTGCTCCAAAATGCAAGGCAGAGAGGAACGCTGATGGCTCTTCCCACATTTTTGTCCATGCAAACAAGTTTCCTTTAGGTGATCCAGAAAAATGACAGAACCCTAAAGGTTGGAAAAACCCTCTAAGATCATTGAGTCCAACCATTCCTGAAGGGGGACTGGCTTCCCACTGCCAGAGGGCAGGGATGGATGGGATATTAGGAATTCTTGGCTGTGAGGGTGGTGAGGCCCTGGCACAGGGTGCCCAGAGAAGCTGTGGCTGCCCCTGGATCCCTGGAATTGTTTCAGGCCAGGCTGGACAGGGCTTGGAGCAGCCTGGGATAGTGGAAGGTGTCCCTGCCACGACAGGAGTGGAACTAGATGAGTTTTAAGGTCCCTTCCAATCCAATCCATGATTCCTTGCCTGGAATTGTATTGACTTTTCATGTATTTCACTACACACTTCCCTTCCCTGCCCCAGACTTTTCCTACACAGCCAAGAAGTTAACCATCACAAACCCATGATAATTATCACAAGTTCATTATCATTACCCAATCTGCTGGCACAGAACTCAACCCAACTCCTTTCAAATTTTCCAAAGTTCTTGGACACAACTGATTTGAGTAGGGTAGTAGAGCTGCAATCCCCCAGCATTTGGAGCTGGAATAACAATGAGATGCTTCTCCAGAGCTTTGGGATGAGCCTGAAATTATGGGAAATAACCATTGGCCCTTTGCACTCACTCCATCTCCCTACTGCCTAGAGGGGCAGCTGTGGGAGCATCTTGAAGCACAGGATTCTCTTCTGGGAACATCCAAATGCATCCCAGACTCTACTTTGCCTGGATTTTTGCAGGATTTTTTGCCTGGATTTTTAATCCTGTCACTTCCAGAAGAGTTTCACTTTCATTTTCACTTCCAGGTCCAACTTCCCAGCAGCCAGGTCTCACTTGCTATCCAAGGCTGCAGGAGGGACACGCTGCAGCCTTTCCCTCTGCCCACACCAGGAGAGGAGGGCTTTGATTCCCACGCACAGCAGCCAGCCTGCAGCATGGAATCACACAGGATGGAAAAAACCCTTAAGACCAACGAGTTCAACCATTCCCCCAGCACTGCCAAGCCCACCACTAAACAATGTCCCCAAGTGCCACACGCACACGGTTTGTGAACACTTCCAAGGATGACGAATCCACCGCTCCTCTGACAGCAAACTGGAATCACCACCTGCTGAATTCCACCACTCAACATCACCCCATTCAGTCTGTCCTTGGGAACAGCCTCAGAAGTCCCTGGGAAGCAGCTGGCATTGGATGCAGATCACTGAGCAAGCTCTGGACGGCTCAGGGCTGTCACCTACCTGGTGTCTCCAGCGTTCAGGCCGATGTCCTCACTCCTCCTGTGCGCTGCTGGGACAGCATCCCGCCCCGAGGCGTCCCTGCTGTGCCTCTGGCCGGCGGCTCGGCTGGAGAAGCCGGGATGCCCAAAGCAGCGCGGGTGGGTCAGTGCCAGCCGGGGGAAGCGATCCCTGAGCCGAGCGAGGCCTCCCGGGATCCAGGGGCTCCACCCGGAGCCGAGACCTCGCAGGGCAGAGCGGGTTCCCGAATCCACAGGGATGGCCGCCTGCATGGAACAGATGAACCGTGAGGGACACCCGGACATCCCCACAGCCCCCAGCGGGGTCCGTGAGGGACACCCGGACATCGCCACAGCCCCAGCGGGATTCACGAGTGACACCAGGACATCCCCACAGCGCCGCAGCCTCAGCCTGCAGCGGGGATGGTCCCGCACCCCGACTCTGCCTGCGGGGATGCCCAGATCCCGCCGGCTCCGGCGGCTGCGGCTCCGGCTCCTCCTCCTCCCTCAGCGCTCCCCTCACCGCCCCTCTCATCCCTTCGCCCCCCACTCCCCTCTCTCATCCTTCCCATCCCTCTCTCCCTTCACCGCCCCTCACTCACCGCTTCTCGGGGTAGGAGGGATGGAGGGCGGGCGGCGTCGCCAACCCAAGAAGCAAAGCGGCGGAGCGGCGGGGGCGTAGCGCGAGTGATTGACAGGAGGCGCCGACCAATGGGCGCGGCGGGTGGGCGCGGCGGGGGGCGTGACCGGCGGGCGGCCAATGGGGAGCGTCCGCCACCGCCCCTCAAATCAGCGGGCTCAGCCGGCTGGCCCCGGCACGGAGTTGTTTGGCGGCGGGCAGGCGGGCGGTGCAGCCGGGCGGGCGGGAGGAGGAGGAGGAAAGAAGAAGGGGAAAAGAGGGGGGGTTTCCCCTTTGTTGCATGGGGGTGTCCAGCCGGGGCTGAGGGAAGGCAGGGAGGGGGTCGGTGCCTCCCGCTGCCCCATGGCCCTCGCTGAGGGGGCGGCCGTGCCCTACGCCGTGGAGCTGGGGCTCACCGTGCTCCACACGGCGCTCTACGCCGCGCTCTTCCTCTTCGCCTACCTGCAGCTCTGGCTGCTGCTCTACTACCGCGAGCGGCGGCTGAGTTACCACACGCTCTGCCTCTTCCTCTGCCTGCTCTGGGCAGCCCTCAGGACCACCCTGTTCTCCTTCTACCTGCAGAATTCCCTGCAGGCCCTCCGCCTCCAGCAGCCCTTCGCCCACTGGCTCCTGTACTGCCTGCCCGGCTGCCTCCTCTTCTCCAGTCTCTGCCTCCTCAACCTCTATTTCGCTGAGGTAAGTTTTGCCCTTTTGGGCAAAACCCCTCCAAGATTCCGTTTCCTAAACCTTCACCCTGCGGGACACCGGGGCTGGAAGCTCCTCTTCAGCCACCTCTCCAAACTTGGAGCGCCCTGGAGCCGAGGCTTTGGGGTGGGATGGAGATATGAGGGTCCAGGTGAGGGTGGGAGGCGATCCTGGAGCTCTGCCCTCGGTGGAGGCTTTGGGACAGCCTGGGGGGATGCCCTGAATCCCGGCTTGGAAGGAAGCGCAGGGATTGTGCCCTGAATCCAGCCCTCGCTACAGACTTTGGGACAGGCTGGAAGGATGCAGGGATTGTGCCCTGACTCCAGGCTGGGGGAGAAGCACAGGGCTTGTGCCTTAAATCCCGGCTTGGGGGGCGGGGTGGGATTTGGGGGGGATGGTGTGAGCTAAAAGTGTGCCCAAAATCCCAGCATCAGAGGTTTGGGGTGCAGGGCTGTACCCTGACTGCAGACCCCGGCGTGGGGGGAGGAGGGGGACAGGCGCATGTCCTGAATTTGGGATTTGGGGGATGCGGGGTGCTCCCAGGTGGGGTTTTCCTCTTTGCAACCCAGACCCACGGTGAGGTGTTTGTGTGGGGGGGCGTCACTTGAGGGACTGTTTTGCATCTTTTTTTAATTGATTCCTCTTCTGCGAAGGGGACCAGAAAGTGGCAGCAGCAGGGGCTGCTCTGGCCTGGAGTGATGCCAACCATTACGTCACCAGCCAGAGCCTCTTCTGCTATTGTTGCTGCGCTCCCTCCTTCCCTCCATCGCTCCGCTGCGAGCCGGGCTTGTTGTTCTGCAGCTTGTCAGACAAAAAAACCCCGAGATCCCTCACACAACAGCCCGGGGCAGCCCCTTCCCAGCACCAGCATCGCTGCTGGGACAGTGCGGAGCCGCTTGTTATTGTCACCGAGATGTGTCCCTGCTTTTCTGGGTCTCCCATCACTCGTGCCTTGGTTTTTAGCCTCCTTTCCTTAGTCCTTTATCTCCTAAAGCCCTGGCTGTCCCCTCCCCATCCTCCTCCTGAATATTTTGTTTCTGCTCCAGTTTCTCGTGAGCAGCCCTCTGCTCGCCTGCCTCCCGGTTCGCTGCCTATTTATGAAACAAGTCACCACTTTTTTCCTTCCAGCTTTGTTGTTGTTGTTGGGATTCTTTGCTCTGCAGCTCTCAGCTGTTCCCAGCCTCACAAAGGAATCACTAACACACAGCAAAATCACTCTGATGTGTCACCCACGGGAGTTATGATTTCATTTTCCCCAGGATATTCACATGATCCTTGGAGCAATGAGGTTGTTCCTCCGTTTTGACTCTTTTCCCCCCAAAAAACGCCTGGAGGCTTTGGGGGTGAGCTGCCTGTTGCAGAAGCTGTTGGAGGGGTTGTTGATGGAGTGGCAGGGGAATAACAAATGGTGCATAGAGAGCACAAATCCATCTTGTCTGCTCAAGGCAGCCTGACCTCCCAGTTGCTCCAGCCAGGAGGGGTTTGTGTCCCTTGAAAGGCAGGGATTCTGTGCTCTGCTCCACAGAGTGGCTGGATTTCTGTTTTCCTCTAGGTCACTGGATTTGACAGGAGATTTGCCTCTCTGCAGCCTTGTTTAGAGGTCCTATTAAAGTAAATCCAAATAGATTCCCAGGCTTCTCCTCCTCCCACGATATCTGTTTTTCAGTGAACTCTGCATATATCCCACTTCTTTCTCCTTGAAGACCTAGAGCCAAGGGAAATCCTGTCTGAGGAAATAAGAGCTCTGAATCTGGAGTGGGCAAGGATAAAGTGACTTGTGAAAATGGGTCTGCTTGCTCAGCTCCAGGGAAGGGCCTGACACTTCCCTGGAACAACCAGGAGGGGTGTCCATCACTCTGTGGGGTTTTTGGGAGAAATCTGTGGTGAAGCCCCACAATTTTGGGGGAAAAAATGGAAAGCTTCTGGAGCTTTTCTTGCTCTCATGATCTAGAGGTGACTGGTGTGTTTACTGGTGTAAACCAGGAGGATGTGCCCCTCCATTCCCAGTTTTTAAGGGCCACTTGGCAGCAGCCTGTGGAAGGACACTGAGCTTCTGCTGCCCTGGGGGTGGCATCCTGATCTGAGATGTCCTCAGATGAAAGCACGGGCTGCTGCTGTGCTGAGGGCCTGGCTCATTGTCCCTGGACACAGAGCCTCCTTTGTGGAGATGCTGGAGAAATGGCATCTGGGGAGGAAAATGGCCTGTGCTGTTATTTGAGCTGATCTTGCTTGATTTACAGAGCTCCTCAGGCTGTGTAGAGGCTGAGGATGGAATGGTGGTGAGGAAGAAGCTCCAGGAAACAGATACCTGTGGAGAACTGGTGTTACTTAACACTCCAGGCTGTTTTGTGGCTGAAATTGAAATTTGCTAAACTGTCCATCCTCTTCCTATTCCATCTTGGCCCCTGAGATTGCTGAGGGGATGCAGAGACCTGACAGAATGAGTGTGGAATGTGCATTTCTTTTTCATAGAGTCCCAGAATGGTTTGGGTTGGAAGGGACCTTAAAGCTCATCCTATCCCACCCCCTGCCACGGACAGGGACACCTTCCACTGTCCCAGCTTGCTCCAGCCTGGCCTTGGACACTGCCAGGGATCCAGGGGCAGCCACAGCTGCTCTGGGTACCCTGTGCCAGGGGCTCCCCACCCTCCCAGCCAGAAATTCCCAATATTCTATCCATCCCTGCCCTCTGGCAGTGGAAACCATTCCCTGTGTCCTTTCATTCCTCTCCAACTTTCCTGTAGGCTCCCTTGGGATGCTTTTTCCACCTGGAACATCCCTTTAGTTTGGGAACATCTCTTCCTTTCTGCTTCAGCTTGTACCAGAAGGAGCCCTTTCCTGGGAATCTGGAGCTCAGAGTCCATCAGGTCAGAATTCCTCAGATCCACTCCCAATCTTGCCTCAATAACTCTGATATCCAACCTAGGATGCTCCTTTGCCTTGCCTTTGGAATAGTTCCTGTGCTGCCACCTTGAATAATGCCACCTTTCCCAAGAGTCTGCCACTTCTCTTTTTCCCCAGGTCTTTGTCAGGAACGTGATATATGGAAATGGAAATACATGGAGGCAGCTCAGGATATTTAGCCTGGAGAAAAGGAGGCTCAGGAGGGACCTTGTGGCTCTGCACAACTCCCTGACAGGAGGGGACAGCCGGGGGAGGATCAGGCTCAGCTGCCAGGGAACAGGGACAGGAGGAAATGGCCTCAAGCTGTGCCAGGGGAGGTTTAACTTGGATATTAGGGGAAAATTCTCCATGGAAAGGGTTGTCAGATATTGGAAGCAGCTGCCAGGGGAGGTTTGGGGTCCCCATCCCTGGAGGTGGCACCCAGTGCTCTGGGCTTGTGACAAGGTAGGAATCGAGCTGGGGCCTGATGGCCTTGGAGGTGTTCACCAATGTGAAATGCAGCCACAACAACCTTGATCTTAAAGACCTTCTTGAGCCCCTGGCACCTCTGGTTGTCCTGGGAATCAGCAGCTGGACAGGGATGAGTAAGGAATGCTGGGCTGGTGGTGTGGCCAGAGCCCTTCACCTGCCTGGGTTTCTCCAAGTGCTCCATCTGAGGAGATGACATCAGCCCCTGTCACCCTTCCTGCTCTAATTGCCCTGGAGACAGGCATGGAGGGAGCACCCAGCCTGGGAGATGTTTGTCTTTACAGTCCTGGATCTTCCTGCCTTCTCAGATGGAAAACTGGAAAAATCTCCATCCTTCATTTCCCTCTTTCACCTTCCCTGTGTAGCAGACACCTGGCAGTGCCCTGTGCTTCAGAGGGACAGCTGGTGAGGGATCACTGAAACTCCAAACTGCTCCATCCCATAGCTGATGATTCCCATGTTTCCCAGATGAACAGGTGGCCCTGCTGGGGACCAGCTATTCTAGGAAAGCAGGGAACATGCAAAATTGCAGCCTGTGCTCATGATGGCATGGAATGATCTCGATGTATGAGGATGCTGAGAGATCCTCGTGGATGGTTCCAGCTTTTCCTCTGTGGATTGAAGTGGGGGTTTGCACACTTGGTAAAAGGTGTGATCCCAAAATAATCTGTGCTGTGTTCCCATTATCTCCTGTGGTGAGAGGAGGGATCTGTTTGGGGATGCTCCTGCAGCTGAGTTGTGTTGGGACAGGGCATGGCTCTGTCTTGTACCTGCAGAGCCTAAATTCATGTTGTCTTTATGAAGCAAAAAGGAATTTGATTCCAGTGGACAACAAGTTTCTGGATCTTTCAGATCTGTTGAGACCAGCTTGGTTTTGGTCCAGCCTAAGTGCCTCACTGTTAGGGATAAGATCCTGCCTTGTGCAGGTATTGAGAGTGGTCCTTGGATTCATCTGTGGGATCTGAGACATGTCACTTATCTTCCTTTAGAGGCTGTGACACCTCCAGTGCACCTTTTAAGGGTGAGTGTGTCTCTGGAATACACCCTTAGGGACTCTCTGGGTGTGATGTGAGCAAGGAAATCACTTTATGGGATAAATCCACTCATCACAAACCCAAAAGCCTCTGGCACCACAGAGGGCTTTGGGGTCTGTAGTTCATTTCAGCCTCACCTTCTTGCTGGTGTGGAGTGCTCAAGGGATCCATGGCTCTGGAAAGGCACCTGAGTATTCCAAAGTGCTGTAAAAGTCTTGTTCTGGATTAAATGCTCCCTGTGTTGCTGAGACCTCTGTTCTCTGTTTTCGTGCTTGACTTCTGGAGCTGGGCTCAGCTCAGATTGGAAGGAGCAGTTCAGTTTGCAAAGATTGCTGCTCACAGCTTGGCCTAATGCACCTGCTGAAGCACAGGGGTCTATTTTTCCCGTTTTTCTGAAGAACAGGATTGCTCCTGAGCGCTCTGTGCTGGATTTTTCACAGCAGAAGCCTCAGCCTGAGCTGTCCTTGGGCTCTGAGAGCAGCAGAGCCCCGTGCAGGAGGCTCAGAGCTCGTCTCAAGGATAAGAACCCAGAGACACCCTGTGCACTCTGCTGGTGCCACCTCCTGACCCAGTCCCTGGGAAGGAAAAGCAACCTTCAGATAACTTATCAGCCTTAATAACCAAAACCCCCAAAGCAGTGATGTCTGTTCCCTTCCTCAAGTTATAGGAATAACTATCCAGGGGCTAATAAAAGTGTAAGGCTGGAGCTGTGGTCTCCCTTTGCTTTCCATGGCAGTGAGCCAAGCAGGAGGCTCAAATTGCTGTTGCACTCTTAACCCTGACTCAGCTTTGTGTGCCTTAATCCCTGAGGCTGCAGGGGAGGGTTTGGGAAGAGTGTCCTGCCCAAAACAGCTTTTTCCTGTGAGCCAGGGGCACTTCCCTGTTCAGCTGAGGGGCTGTTCTCAGTTGGAAACACGACATTCCCAGCTGGAATACAAGCCAGGGACTCTGCAGAGCTTTTCAGAGGCTGAGGTTACAGCAGCAGTGCAGATTTCTCTGTGGATTTCCATGCTGCTGGAATGGGTGCTGAACCAGGAGCTTCCCAGCTGGGTGTCACCAATGCCTGTTTTGGGAGGGCAAGAGGAAACTGCCTCAAGTTGTGCCAGGGAATATTTAGATCCTAACTGCATGTTAGGAAAAATTTCTTCACTGACAGGGTGGTGAGGTGTTGGAACAGGCTGCTCAGGGCAGTGGTGGAGTCCCCATCCCTGGAAGTGTTCAAAAAACTCGTGGATGTGGCACTTCAGGGCATGGTTTAGTGGTGGATGTGGTGGTGCTGGATTAATGGTTGGACTTGCTGACCTTGGAGGGCTTTTCCAGCCTCAGTGATTCAGTGATTCCATGACTCTCCCAAAGTGTCTGAATGTCACCCACAGGCAAACAAGGGAGGATTCAGGGATATTTCTCTTTTGGAGTCACCACGTGGCCCTTCTAAGAGCCACTTTCCTGTAACTGAAATGAGTTTTAGGGCTCAGGGTGGATTGTGCCACACTCCTGTGCTTCTGTGGGCCAGGACAATGGGATGGAGAACATTCCTGAGGCTGGAGACCTCCCTCTGCTCAAGAATCACATCTCATTCCCCATGAAGTTGAGCTCATCCTCCCTCAGCCTTGGGAAGAGGAGCCAGGCAGTGGAAGTGGCTCTTGGAAGGGAATCACTGAAGCTGTCCAGTGTCCTTTGAAATGCTTGGAAGCACTGCAGTGGCTCAGACAAGCCTCAGATCCTGGAATGTCTCTGGAAATCCCGTTGGCAGCAGCCTCATTCCTGAAGCTCATGTGCCATTTCTGCCTCAGTGCTGCCTTGGAAGCAGGAGCCAAGGAATCCCACCAGGATAAAAGCTGCCTGAAGATGCCTGGGAGGAGATGAGTGATCCTTCACTGCTCACAGGGAAGGCTCCTTGGGGGAGAAGAGAGACTGAGCCTCCACACCTGGCCAGTGATCCCATAAGTACAGGTGGCATCACTCTGGATGTGTCTGTGCCTCCTCCCAAATTCTGTCAACGTCTCTAATCAGGACATGAGCTTTGCCTGTGGCTGAGTGGCATCTCTGGGATCCTTCCTGGTGGAGTCTGGACCTGGAGCTGAACACAACCCAGTTCCTGACCAGTGTGAGCACTGGTTCCCTGTACCTCTGCAGCAGGAATTCACATCTGAGCTGTGATTTGGGATTATCTGCCCCTTCCTAAACTGTCCCTACTCCTCTAACATGGAAATCCAGCATGATTGAGGTACTAAAATAGCCCAAAACATTTGGAAATGGAGATGTATTTTTGAAGGACTTTTAAGTGCTAAACCCCCTTCTTTTCTTGAAGTCGTCAAGGTGTGGTGTTAAAGTGTTTGTCACATATGGGGTGTTAAGTATGTTTATGGTTGTTGGGAACCTGTATTTGGACTGGGCTTGTACAAGGAAAAAGTATCATTGTTTTGGGTCCAGAGCAAGACTTGGTGCTAACAAATAATCCAGATTCCTTGGAGATGTCCAGCTGGGTTCTGGCTTCCCTGTTTATCCCTTGACAAAGGTGAAAGGAAACTGTAGGCCATGTGAAGTAACCCTGTGTAAATCTCTCCTCCAGGTCATATTCAAAGTGAAATGTGCAGCTGAATTCAACAAGTACAAGTAAGTGCTGCTGTCCTGAGCTTCCCTTCAAAGCTGGTCCCAGGGGAACTGGCTGGGAATGGGAGGGTCAGGCCCCAAAAGCTGAACAGAGCTCGAATTCCATACCTGTGCTCTGAGGAAGGAGCAGAGTTGGATCTTGGAGCAGCACTGGGAGCTTCAGGGGTGCCAGGGGAGCTCAAGCATCCCAGTTCCCCTGCATGAACTCTTAGGGTTCATGGGGTGTCCATGAACTCTGGGCTGTCCAAACCCAGGGAAGATCTGCAGAACAAGGCTTGGGCAATGAGTGAGCCCCAGGTTTGTGCAGCCCAGGTGCTTCCCAGGGAAACCCACAGTGGAAAATGCAAGCTCCAGTGGCTCTCAAGAAAGGAGTTGCAGTGGTTGTGATGACTCATGGCTTATTGACTGGAGTTAATGCAGAGCTGGAGCAACACTTCAAATCTGCAAGATAAGAACCTGACTGTCAGAAGATGAGTCTTGTAACTCATGACTGCTTACGCTGCTCATGTGTTCTGAGAGCAGCTCCAGCAAATCCTCTGCAGCCTTGGGCTGCCAGTACAGCCCCTGAAATTTGCTGGGATTCCTGAGCTTCCCAGCAAGCAGAGCACTGGGAGGGTCTGCTGACACAGGAGGGAGGTGCAGGATGAGCCTGGGCTTGTCTCACTGACCATTTCTCCCCTCACCATCTCTCCAGGGTCCTGTTGTACCTGGGCTCCATCCTCACCAGCCTCCTGTTCCTGGTTGTGAATTTAACCTGTGCAATGCTGATCCATGGTGAGGTCCCAGAGAAGCAGCTGAGGTGGACGGTCCTGGCCCGGGCTCTGCTCAATGACAGCCTCTTCATCCTCTGTGCCATCTCCCTGGCCTGCTGCATGTGCAAACTGGGAAAGATGTCTTCAGCCAATGTCTACCTCGAGTCCAAGGTGGGTAAATGTCTTGGGAATTCTCCCTGGGACTGCTCAGCTGGGTCTGGGTTTTCTCACTCAGGGCAGTGCTGGTCTGGTGGTACCTGAGCTGCTCTTGCTCAAATTCTCCTTCCAGTGGGGAGGTGGCAGCTCTTGGATTCCTCCCTTTCACAAAGTGCAGGCTCCTGCTGTGGGAGTGATGTTTCCTGCATGTTTTAAGGGAATACTTTGTCTGCAGCTTTGCCATAATAGATTTATGAGCTGCTTCTGCTTTTCAGACATAGAAAATCCCAGGTTTGCCTTGGAGAGAGGTTTCTCTAAGAGCAGCAGATGGAGTTTTTCTTGTGTGTTTTACCTGTGGCAGGTGTGTCATGATTCCCTGCAAAGGGGATCCCTCAGAAATCCAGCTTTAATTGGACTCTGCTTGGCTAGGATGAAATGAGCATTTTGGAATGGGACAAGAAGTTGCTGTAGCTCCTGTCCCAAAGCAGTACAGGTGAGGGTCTGATCAAACACAGCTCTTTTCCAGCAGATAGGAAAGTGGAAAAGCCACCAGCACTGTGGCAGGAGGCTGCAGTCAGTGTCCACTTGAGTGCCTGGAAACATCCAGAGGAAAAACCAGAGCACCTGAGCACAGGCAGCTGAGGCTTTCTGTAGAAGGTGTCTGGCTCCTTAAGAAGCAGAGGGCATTGGTGACTTCCTGGAAATCCAGGATGTGTGGGCTGGGTCTGGTGTCCTGCCTGGCTGCTGTGACAGCTGTCCAGAGGCTGCAGGTTGCATCCAGATCTGCAGTGAGGCTGGAGCAGAGAAGCTGCTCCCATCCCTGCTGGCCTGGGCCTGCTATCCAGCTCTGGCTGGCTCTGGACACTCATTAACTCACCCAGTGTCCCCAGTGCAGGAACCTCCTCTCCTCACATGCCCCAGGCTGCCCCTGGGCTGTGTACAAAGTGCTCCAGGGAAGCCTCTGCCCTCCACTTGGATGCTCACCCTGGCTGTCTGCTAAAGCTCTCTGCCTCCCTCCCCTGCCCTGGGGGCATCCCCTGATACTGTGTGTGGGAACTTGCTGCAGAAACAGGCTGGGGATGAGCAGAAATGTTACACAGATGTCCCAGAAGGTTGTCCTGCCCCTGAACTCAAAGCCAGGCAGCAGGGCTGCAGGCTGCTGCCTCCACACTGAAGGTGGGAATGTTGGAGCTGTGGGAAGGAGGCTGGGCTGCAGCCAGCCCCTGTCCTGTGGGCCTTGTGAGCTGGAGATTTGCTTCAGCAGCCTTTGTGCCTCATGGTGCTGGCCTGAGCTTCCAGTGACTGCAGGCTGTGTGCTGGGCTGCAGGGCTGTCACTTGTCTGTGGGCCCCTCTCTCCTGCTGGCTCTCTGAAGACACTGTCCTGAGCTCCAAATCTAGGAAAATACAGCTGGGATGTGGAGCAGGCCAGTGGGATGAGCTTCCCAGCAGATTCTCTGCTTAAACACAAAGGCAGCTCAGGTGCTGAGGGGTGTTTGCCCCCCTCACTGTGACTTGGAGCCATTAAAAGGATTCATGGATGGATTTAACAAAACCTGGTTTGTCCCAGCGTTCCTGAATGGTTTGAGTTAGAAGAGATCTTAAATCCCATCCAGTTCCACCACCCTGCCATGGGCTACCTTTAACTATCCCAGGTTGCTCCAAGCCCTGTCCAGCCTGGCCTTGGACATTTCCAGGGATCCAGGGGTAGCCACAGCTTCTCTGGGCACCCTGTGCCAGGGCCTCAGCTCCCTCACAGCCAGGAATTTATTCCCAATAGCCCATCTAACCCTGCCCTCTGTCTGTTTGAAGCCATTTCATTTTAATGGGAATCACAAAGCCAGGCCATTGTAAATCCTCTCTTTCCATCTTTCCTTTGGGCTCCCTTCAGGTACTGGGGTTCAACTCTGGGTTTTTCTGCCCACCCCAAATATTTGAGCTTCTTTTCTAGACAAACACTCTGTATGGTTGGGGTGCTGAGTGGCTGCAAGTGAAACACCTCTGCAGAGTCTGGGCTGTAAAACAGAAATTTATTTTCCTGATGGAGGATTATTTGCCTTGTGGAGATTCCCAGAGGAAGGCAGGGGGTGGAACAGCATCTCCCTGGACCCCCAGTTTGGGGCTGACTGACAAAGCCCTGCCAGGGACACTCCAGTGCCTCAGATCCTTCCCTGCTCCCAGGCAGCTCTGGCTGTGTGGCTCCTGCAATGAACTCATCACATGAGAAAGCTCTTACCCAGCTCTGAATATTTTAGCAACAACATACAAATGTTCTGGGTCATTCTTGCCTGCACAGCTGCTCATGCATTTAAGGGAACAGGGAAGAACATCAGAGCTCTGTATTAAAACTCTTTTTATTTCTTCCTGTCCTAGGGAACATCTGTCTGCCAGGCTATTCTGGTGGGATCAGTAGTGGCCCTCCTGTATTCCTCAAGGGCTTGCTATAACCTGGTAGCTGTGGCCATATCTCCAGACAATGTTCCTGGTCCTTTTAACTATGGCTGGGACAACCTTTCAGACAAGGTGAGTGTGTGACCCCCAGTCCAGAGGTGAAATGCAGTCATTCCTCATCCTGTGAGGGTGAAAAGGGGGCTCAGGGGGTAGTCTGGGTAGCTGAACCCCCACATGAGCTGCCTTTCTGCTCTGTTTGCTCTCTCCACCCAGCAAAGCTGAGTCCTCTTCTCTCCAGCCCCTTCTTCAGGGAGGATTCCCTGTTGTGCTCTTCCCTTTCAGCCTGCCAACTCTTCTTTTGAGGGAGAGGAGGGACAACTCAACTAGAGCAGAACAGCAATGCTTAATCAGGCATGGCTGTGTGTGAGGGAGAGTCCCTGGTGTGGGCAGCGAGCTCCCAGTGCCCTGGCAGCACAGTCTGAGCACAACCAGCTCACCCAAACCAGCAGCAGCAGCCAGGTGAAGGTCACTGTGCTGCTTTAGGGACTCCTGCCTCTGGAAAGGTTTCTCTGCTTTTTGGGAGCTCTGTGGGTGGCTGGGATGACACAAACCCCTCTGCTTTGTGCCCACAGGTGCACGTGGAGGTGAGCAGTGAGGAGTACGTGGTGTTTGGAGTGGTCCTGTTCCTCTGGGAGCTGGTGCCAACCACTTTTGTGGTGCTGTTCTTCCGTGCTCAGAGACTGAGCCAGAACCTGGTAGGCCTGAGCAAGTCCCCCTGTGCTGGGAGGATGCCTGGGATGACTTTTGGGAATGTTTTTGCTTTTGGCCTAACTCCTTTCTCCTTGGCAGACTCCAGCAGGGATGGTCAACAGCCACAGCTACAGCTCCAGGGCCTATTTCTTTGACAATCCCAGGCGCTATGACAGCGACGATGACTTGTCACGGCTCGGGGCCAGGGAAGGAGGGTAAGGAAGGCTTGTGCTGCTGCTCTGCTGCCCTCTGGGGAAGCAACAGAGCTCCTGGTTTCTGCTCCTTGGAAAAATTTTGGTGGAAGAGGCAGCTTGGGCAAGGTAGATGGGGCAGGGAGCCTCTGACAGAGCTTTTGTTCATTTGGGCAGCTCACAAGGAGCTGGTTCTGGCAGAAGTGACCAGCTCAGAGAGGTGGATGGTGCTCACAGGTGGTGATTGCAGACAGGAGAGCTGGGATCCATTTCAGAGGGCTCTGAATTGATCTCCAGAGGGGTTTCTCCCACTTCCCAGTGAGAGCTGGTGAAGTCCTGGGAGGGAGCTGGGACAAAGCTCTGCAGGAAGTGCTGGTGTGGGGGAGAATGGTCAGGTATCCCCAGCAAAACATGAGGCATCCTGGCAGCACTGTCACCTGTCATCATGGAATGGTTTGGGCTGGAAAGAACCTTAAAGACCATCTTGTTCCACCCCCTGCCATGGGCAGGGACACTTTCCACTGTACCAGGTTGTTCCAATCCCTGTCCAACCTTGTCTGGAACATTTCCCTTCCTTTCCACTTCACTTCCAAGTCCCTCATTTGCTGCCCAGGAGTGTAGTGAGCACTTCAGAGGTTCTGGCTCCTCTTGACCAGTGCTGTGGGGCCTGGTGCTCTTCTCCTTGTCCATGTCTCATCAAAGCCACATTCCTTGGAGATACTGTACCTTCAAACTCCAACACCCTGACCAGTGCTGGGAGCAGAAATCTGGACGAGCCAAATCATTCATCCCTAAAAAGTCCACGCCTGTGTTTTTTCTGTCTCTCCTGCAGCTTGGCCACCCCTCAGTGTGTTTTTTCTGTCTCTCCTGCAGCTTGGCCACTCCTCAGTGTGTTTTTTCTGTCTCTCCTGCAGCTTGGCCACCCCTCAGTGCTCGGGCTGTTACGGCTCCCTGGCTGGCACGGACAGCGGGAGCGCTGCGGACAGCGCGCCCTTGCTCTGCGCCGCTGGCGGCTCGGACATCAACCACCACCACCACCACAGCTCCCACCCTGCCCCACAGAACTGAGGAGGCTCCCTCTCTTCCCAGAGTGGCACTCGTGTATAGGATTGTAACCTGGTTTTCCTCTTTTCCTCCTCTTCCCCCTCGAAGCATCTAACTCATGACACAAACATTCCACTACCTGCTGCAGCTGCGTGCGGGGACTGAGCCCAGGGCTGCAGGCAGTTGAGTCAGAGAACTGTGACTTTAAGGTACCATGTAGCAAAGTGAAGCTGAACTCTCTGGAAGCTTTTTCTTTTTCCCTTGGTCTGGTCTTCAAGATGTTGGCAGCTAAATGCACCAGAGCTTCCTCACTAGAAAAGAAACATCAAATGCATATTTGCACTTTTATCTGCACACTTGGAAGGAACGAATCTTTCTCGGGCTGTGCTTGGCCTGAGACTGTTCTAGTTACTCTTTTAATTGCACATCCAGAGCTGGGAGAGGCACTGTCTTCCTGCAAAGACGTGTTCCCTGAAGGACTCTGCATCCTGCCTCCCTGGGAGTGGAGCTCTGTCTGGGCAGGGCCCCCGGCGCTGGATGCTCGAGTTTACTGTGCCATATTCCCACCTGGCAGGGCTGGGTGAGGCCTCGAGGCTTGGGGGGGTCTTGCTCTACCTGCTGGTCCCACCTGGCTGCTGCCCTGTCCTACCTGGGCCTGTGGCTCAGAGCTGAGTGAGCTCAGTGTTGCTGCTGGCCTTGTGACCACCCCGCTGGCCCGTGGCAGAGGGACAGGGCTGGCTTTTCCCTGCAGGGAGAGGCTGGAGCTGGCTCAGCAGGAGTGTGTGTGCAGGAATGTGTGTGAATCCAGGGCTGCTGCACCCCCTGGGTGCTGGGAGCAGCCCTGCTCCCCCTCCTCTTTGCCCACAGTGGGGCTCCCCTGGTCCCCCTCAGTATTAAATTGCATTTAGCAGATAACCAAGAGTTTTAACCTGAAGTGAATGTGAACTGCTGGGTCCCCACTGAGGTGCAGGGGGTGTGTGGCTGCCTGTGGAACATTGCTGTTGCAGAAGGAAGGAGCAGAAACCACAGGGATCTGATCCTTGGGCTCCTTGCTCTGCTTTCCCTGTGGAGCTGGGGCCTCCCAGAGCTGTGGAGTGCACAGGGTTGGAGTGCTGGGTCAGGCTGGGACAGGTCCCTCTGTCTTTCCTTAACCAAAATAGCCAAGTTTGCCCTGGCCTGGGCTCTTTGGAGATGAGGCTTGGTGTTATTCCTGGCTTGTCCCTGAGCCAGCTGTGGGGATGAGCAGAGCAGCTTTGGATAAAGGCACTGGTGCAGGGAGGGAGCTGCTCTGAGCGTGGGACAAATCCACCCTGGGACTGCTTTTAACCTGCCTTGTGCTGCTCCAGGCCTGGTGTGACACTGGGGGACAGGGGATGCTGTGCTGGGACAGCAGCTGAAGGGACAGCTTTCAGTGATGAGAGCTGAGAGAGAAACCCCAGCCCTGGGCTGTCCTCACCCCTGAGGCTGTGCTGAGCTCCGTGTCACTTGTCCCACTGTCCCTGTCTGTGGCCTGGGCTCTCCCTGCTCACCTCCTGCACTCGTGCTGGCCCAAAAAAAACCAGCAAGTTCTGCTTCTTTTTTGGAGAAGGCAAAGATGGCAACTCTCAGCACAGCCCTTGCTCGAGTCCCTGACCCAGAGCTCCACCCTGGCTGCTCCCCTGTCTGTGGCAGGAACAGGTTGCTCCATCTCAATCCCTGCTTGGCTTATGGTGAAGGACCAGGCACTGTCACCCTTCCTTCTGCTCCCATAAGTCTCCAAAGACAGCAAGTGACACTCGTGGCCCCTGTTCTTGCTTAAATTCCAAAGCACTAGGAGCACTTTAAGTTTTACTTTGGAGGGAAAGGAGTGTAGTGCAAAAAAAAAAAAAAAATTAAAAAAACCTACAAAATCCAAGGGCTACAGGCTCATTGTTCCTCTTGCACTGAAGCACACACCCACACTATGATCTTCCTGGATTATTTGGGATGGCAGGTCAGGGCAGTGAGCTGTTGCTGATGGACCCCTGAGCGAGTGGCCAAGCGTTTGGGTTTTACTCCTTTGTCCGCTGGATTCCGAGCTGAGCGCTCCTCCCGGGGCTGCTCCCGTGTTTTACTGAAGTAATTTATAGCTGACAAGTTACAAGGACTTTTTTAATGCATAGTTGCCTTTCATTAAACTTTCTTTTCTTTTGGTTTGGTTTTTTTTTTTTTTTTTTTTTTTTTCTTTTTTTTTAATTTTTGGTATGGTTTAACAGTGTTCTGGCTTTGCAGGCGGGCAGCAGCTGCTGCCCCAGGAGCTGTGGCCAATGAATGTACCTATTTGTTCTTCACTAAACTGTAACCAAGCACTACTCTGTTGAAATAAATTTAAAAAAATAAAAAAATAAAAAAAAAAAGGACTTTCTGTGCTGGGATGGCTCCCAGGGTGCCCCAGCCAGCTCCAGGTGTGGCCCTGTGGTCGCCTGTGCCCTGCCAGGACCTGGCACATCCCATTGCTCTGCTGCCACAGGGCTGGGAGCTCTGAGCTGGGGGTGGCACAGGGCCTTTATCCTCTGCTGCTTTTCTGGTTGCAGCCCTGAGGGAAAGGCTGGAGCTGAGCCAGGGGAGTTGGATCTCAGGGGAAAGTTCTTCCCTCAGAGGGTGCTGGGCACTGCCCAGGCTCCCCAGGGAATGGTGACATTCCCAAGGCTGCCAGAGCTCCAGGAGTGTTTGGACAGCACTGCCAGGGTGGGATTGTTGGGGAGTCTGTGCAGGGACAGGAGCTGCTCTCCATGACCCCTGTGGGTCCCTCCCAGTCAGGGAGGCCATGCCAGGATTGTGTGTCTCCATCTTGTGAGGCACAATGTGCTCAAACCACAGCCACTTCTGGCCAGGGGCTGTGCTTTGTCCTTCCCAGGACTGGCTCCCCCAGCCCCACCTCCAGACCTGGAGCTTCCTTTATTCCTTTCCCAGGTTTATCCCCATCCACACAGCCTTGAACTCTGCTGGAGCACACGCTGCCTCTTCCTCCTCTTCCCACATTTTAGGGTGGAAAGCAGAGGGGTTTCCTCACAGATCCAGGCTTGGGGGCTCTGTTTTCCAGCAGCACCTCCCACACCCCAGCCTGTTCTTTGTCCCTGTTGATGGTGCAAGCAGGGCTGGCTCCATCCCTGTGGGGCAGCAGGAACAGGGGACCCTCACCCTTCTGGCTCTGGGGGATCCATGGGCTGTGCCCTCTGCCCTTTCCCAGCAGCTCTGCCCCACTGCTGGTCCTTGGAGCAGCACAATTCCCCTGCACCTCACTCTGTGCCATCTGGCACATCCCTCCTCATTTTAGCCCTGCCTCCAGGATCCCAAAAGAGGCCAAACCCACAGGCACAGGCTGGGAGGGGCAGGAAGGCCGGGAAAAGGCTGGGATTGGGGTCCTGGCAGCAGCTGCTGCCCCAGGGACAGTCAGGCCCAGCTGAGGGTGGGTTCTGCTTTTCCTGGATGAGGAATGGCAGCCTCCAGGTGCCACATGGAAAGAGGTTGGGTTCCTCCAGCGTGATCCTTCTTTGGTGCATCTTCCCAGCCTCCAGTGGGAACTGCCTGTTCCCACAAGAAGAAGAGGAATTTTGAAGAGGAATTCAACTTGGGGTAGCAGCAGCTCCTACAATCCCTTGAAGTTGTTTTTTTATGCAGCAGGAAGTTGGTGTAGGCACACTGTGAGTGAGGGGCTGGTTGGAATGATGGAGCAGACAAGGAATTTCCCCCAAATTTATTCAATGGCACAGTTCTTGCCGTGCCTCCAGCTTCCAAAGGCAAGGCCGTGGGTCTGATCCATCCAAATAGCACAGCAATATTTTAAATAGTTATTCCAATCATCTTCCAATATATAAAATAAAATTTACATATAGTCCCCACTTTTGTACAATAAAAAAAATTAGCTTTTTTTTGTTTCCCTTGTAAAAAATATCTCCTCAGCAGGTTACAGACAATTATGGGCCAGGAGGCCCAGCAAGTGGTTTCCATGGTTTAAGTCAGAGTGGTGGAATGATGGTGTTTGTCCTCAAGTCTCTCTTTCTCCACTGAATTCACCTCGTGTTTTGTAAGATATTCCTGAAGTTCTCCAGTTCTTTCACGCTGGTTGAAACCCTGTGTGCAAGGAAAGCAAAAGGGAAACGTTCCAGCAACATTCATGTAGTGAATTATTTAAAATCTGGGAGAAAGGGGCTGTAGCAAGCAAAGCTTCAAGCAGCTCTTGGGAAGGGAAGATTTGGAATTCCAGCTAAATTAGGTTGAGGTTACAACCAGGCCCTTCACTGACTCCCCTGCCTCTTTTTAAAGCAAACACTGGGAATCACAGTGGAATAGGATGTTAAGGAACTCATCCTTGGAAAAACCTGTTTGCCAGAAACTCCTGGTCTCTCAACATCACAAAGAGCTCATGTATAATCAGAGTGTCCTGAAATCCCCTCCTAAAGGCCTCATTATTCTACTTTTCTGAGAAAAACTCCTCATCCAGAGAGGCTGGACTGATGGATTCCTGTTAAATGTAATCTGGGAATGAACAGAGAGAGGCCTAAGGAAAGCAGCCCTTGCCTGGGACAATGTGCTCCAAGGACAGAGTCACACAGTCCCTTAAAAATGATGAAATTCTTTCTATCTTAGCATAAATGCTTCCTTGAATTCCTTACAGAAATGTAGAGTACAAAGAAAATTTTAAATCACTCCAACTGTTGTGCTCCATACCAACACCTGGTATCAGACCATGACAAGAGCAAGAGTCCCCACCAAAACTGCTGAGGAGTGACAGAAATTAGAGCTGAAACTGGCTGTAACACAGCAGCTTATGCAGAAATAGAGGGGGAAATCTCAAACTCACCTTCCAAAGGCATTAAACAAGGCCACAATTTCTTGTCTGGTCAGCTGGAATCCATAGGAAGGGCCACTCTCAGGAATCTTTTCGATGAGGTTCTCTGAGAAGAGGATCTTCAGCGCTGTGCCCAAGCCCTGTGTCTGTGCAGGGATCAAAAAGGATCCTTGAACAGCAGAATTCCAACCTCCCTCCACCTGGGCAACATCATCTAAACAGGGCAAGAGGATTTCACTTAGCCCAGGCTCTGCACCCCCTCCCCTCTCCTGAGTTATCCCAGTTTTTAGG